GGGGCACGGGGAGTGCACAACAAAGGCAGGCCGTCAGATGGGAGAAAGGGCATGGTGGAGGGGCTCCCTGAGAAGGAGTTGACGGTCGGTCGGGGGGGTGTGCATGCGTGTGTGCGCAGACAGGTCGACACACAGACAGGTCGACACACGGACAGGAAGACAGCTGGAAAAGAAAAACAAATAAGGCAACACACAAACAACCAAACAACCAAAGTGAAGGAAAGACACACCGCCTCCAGAAGGCCCGGACTGGCCTCATTCAGCTCCTCCAGCGGCGATCGGCTGGCCGAGAGGACGCCCAGCTCCGGGGCTACCTGCAGCAGGGCCGCCAGATCGTCGAAAGGGCGGCTCCGATCCCCGAGGATCTGCTGCTGCATGCGCCCGGCCGAGTGCCGAGGGCTCTTTCGCAGCTGGGAGTAACGCGCCCCGGCCCGACGCGGCGGATGTGCGACTGACATGGCCACAGACAAACGCAACAGGGAGGAGAAGGATGCAAGGAGGGAGGGGGAAGGGGGACAGCGGGCGAGCGGGCAAACGAGCAGGGGACGGCGGGGAGAAGCAGGATATGGCCAGGTGCCGGGGAGGGGGGGATAGGACAGGACAGGACAGGACAGGACAGGACAGGACAGGACAGGACAGGACAGGACAGGACAGGCGGCTAGCGGCTGGCGGGTGAGAAGGAGGAGGATCTCTGGTTGCTGCTCCCGGGGAAACATGGCCGGGACACCGCTCGGGCGGCTGGCCTTTGTCTCTCTCTCTCTCTCTCTCTTTCTCCCTCTCCCTCGCGTCCGTGGGTGCGTATGTGCCGCATCGGGGGGGGGGGCGTGTGAGAGAAAAAAAAACAGCCATCCCTCGGCCTCGGCCTCAGACCTGGGCCGCGGCACGCCGAATCCCCGGCGCTCCCCGGGGTCTCCGGCGGGATCTCGCCCCGGCGCGCGATCGTCGGGCGCGGGGAGGGATTTAAATATCCCAACTGCCAATCGTATGTGTCACGTTGCTGTCGGGAACGGCATTCCCTCACCGGCGGCCCTAGGGTCGCCGTTCTGGGGCCGCACCGAGGCCGGGATCTGGTGGTGTTCTGGCGTGAGGGTATGCCCGGGGGGGCTGGGCGCGTGTGCGTTCGCGCGCCCGGACGCGCATGCGTGTCGGCAAGCGCGCCTTCACCCCCCCCCCCCCTCGGCCTGGGGCTGTTCCTGGACCGAGCGCCGGGACCAGGAACGGCTCTGCCCTGTCGGGGGGGGGGACCGGGGCCGTGCGCCTGTCTGCCTAACGCGCTGGCCGGGGGCAAGGACGCCAGGAGCCACCAGCGGGATGCGGCCCACACAAGCTGGAAAACGAGGGCACGGCGCTGGAAAGCTAGATCTCCCGCGCGTGTGTGTGTGTGTGGGTGGGTGGGTGTGTTTGTGTGACCCTACCCCTGCCGGGTGCTGGGCGAGCGCCCCGGCGCCGTGGACGACAATGTCCTACACGCGCTCGCCCGTGTACCGGCGGCCTCCCCCGCATGCGAGACAGCGGGAGGAGGGGCAGACGAGCAGAAGGGAGGGTTGGCCGCGGCCCGGCGGCTTTCTGTTTCTATGTTTCTAGTCGGGTGGACCCCTGTTTTTGTCCGAGGTGTACCACCCCACGCCCGAAGACCACACACGCACACAGCACCCGGAGACATGTCCGGGAGGGGGAGAGGAGCGGGGGGGGGGGGAGCATGCAGCACCCCAGCACGCGCGTTGCCCGTTCCCCATGGGCGCCGGCCCGGCCCTCGCCAAGCGACTAGGCTACGTCTGGTGCCCTCCGCGCCGGCGCGCGCCAAGGGCCGAGAGCCTCCCGAGGCAGGCGACACCGATGGAGGCCTTTTGGGCCGCCCCGCCGCCGGCTCGCAGCCCGGGCGATCGGGCCTCCTTCCTCTCACACGCCCGACCCCCCGACCGTCCCGCTTCTGGGTACATCCCTCCGCCCTTCTCCAGCCTCTGCTCCCCGCCCGCTCTCGCCCCCGCTGCTGCTCCCCGCCCCTGCCTCTTGCCCCTCGCACGCCTCCGCCCGCCTCCGCCCGCCTCCGCCCGCCCCCTGCCCCTAGGCCCACGTCGGCCGACCCTTCCGCGGGGCCTCCCTCTCGCCCTGGGTCCGCCCTCCGGCGTGGTGTGCGCGCGCGCCCACGCATGGCACGGCACCCGGCGCGGCCGGATGCCTGGATCGCTCGGCGGGGGGGGCCCTGTCTCCTGCTCCCTCCCCTCCT